TAGGAGTGTACTTCATATCTAAAATGATTGTTTCACTTCTATTTTAAGGTAATTTATTCCTTGTCTGAGAGAATGTGATGGGGGGGGGGAGTGGTCTTGGAGGAATATCTGTATTTGAAAATTATTTTGCATTAATTGTGTAACTTGCATAAACAAATTATGATAGTTGCTGCCACATTGCATGACCTTTTTGAAAATCAGAAACATTACATTAGGTTTGCATATTTTGATCAGCCCTTCTACTTTGTGTTGCACTTAATTTGTAGAAAGACATTTTGCACAAATTGCAGAAACCTTAATGGAAAAGACTGAAAGTGAGAAATCTCAATGGGCTGATAAATTCTTAACAGGCAATCCCATTTTTCCAGTACATTTGGCTGAGTATGAACAATTTCTTAAGATTCTTCACATCCACCTCTGCCTGAAATGATTGCTTTATGGAGCTCTTTGACACTTGTTGTGAATCCTAGCCCCTACTACGGAGATTTATCTGCCTTACCCTAGGTCACATAGGCCATGAAAACTAGAATGACAGTGCAAATACATCTCAGACATAGCAAGGAGACAAGGACTCAAAATCTGTGCTGAAACACCCAGTGTTAGTCTCAAAATAGAAAGTACTAAACCTGCTTTCAGAATGGATTATGCAAAATCAAATGTATTTGCATATCATGTTTCAGCTTGCCTGCTCCGCTCTGGTTGCCTTTGCAAAAAAAATAATTATATTTTACTATTTTAATTTAATTTTGATTACCTGTGGACTGAATGAAACCTAAAAGTTGGGGATCTCCAAGTAGCATGCCAGAGAAAAAATGATTCTAGTTAGCATCTTCCCCCTCTCCCACCTCATGGGCCAACACTGAAAGACAAGTGAGTTCTTGTCATGTTCACAAGATACAATTTACAATCTCTGCTGAATTAGGTTTTGGATTTAAAAGTGAGGAGATTGGTTTGCTCTCATAATCACTCCCAGGTACCCAACGTTCTATACCACTACAGTTGTCCAACATGACGTGGTCACATAGATTCAAAAAGTATCAAACTCAACACAACCACAATGCACCTCCAATGAGCAGGCTAGGTGTTTTTATGAGAGCAACCCATGCCAATGGAACCACAGTTGTAGCTCTACCAAATTTTAGCCTGATTGAATAAGGATTTAAGGTAAATGGAAATAGAATCATCCATGTACAATGGAAATAGAATCATCCATGTACGTCCCAGCCACGTGATTTCCTTGTATGTGGGCTCCTAATTTTGTTCATTTCTATGTGTGTAAAAGATCTTTTATTAAGTTCATTAATTTACTTGACCTCTTTGTGTTTAATTCTGTGTTCTCTCTCTTACTGAAATTCAAACTGAAAACTTACATCATCACTTCTTTTCAGGGTTTTAAGCAGTACATATTGGATCAGTTGAAAATAAGCTGCTGCATTTCTTTCTGAGACAGTCAACATGGTGTGGTTGTTCAATGTTTAATGTTGGACTAAGACTCTGGGAGACCTGGGTTTAAATCCATGCACAGCCATGGACACTAGCTAGGTTACTTTGAGTAAGTCACTCTCCCAGCTATCAAGGAAAGAACTAAACCTGCATTCATAATGAATTATGCAAAATCAAATATGGCAAAATGCCTCTAAATAAATCATCCCAAGAATAGGAAAACCGAACTCGATTGCACAAAAATGCAAAACAGTTTGGCTAGTTTCTGAACAGGTATCAGCTAGGAAACTTCAATCATTCTATGAAGAAACATGATATTGATGCATTTCAGCTTGTTTTCTGGTAATTTCTCTAAGTAATATTATATTCTAGGTGAAATATTGCAGAGAGTTCTACCTTGTTGATCTTCATAAAACTCTCAGTGGTTTTAATACTATTGATTAGGCTTTTCTACTGGATTGACTCTGCAAATAAAAAGGCTGATCCTTTTTATTTCTGGATCAGCCTACATAGTATGCATGTGCATTTCAGCTGAACCTTGAGCCATTTTGGCTATCTGGATTTTGGGAGACCCACATATCTGTTTTTGTGCACCTCCTGAAAATGGCTGGCCAGCTCATTGGCAGCAATGGGCTTCACAGACTCCCCTTCCTGTAATTTTCAGGGCTATCAGCATGAAAATGGCCACACTTGGAGGATACATCTACCACTGCTGGCTCACCAAGTTTCATAACATTTGGGTCATTCCCTGATTTTTAGGGTTTTTTTCTTTCTAAAAATAATATCACCTTTAAAAATTCCCAGAAAGGTATCCCCCGCTGGCCTCACCCTGTAACTTCTCCAGGAGCAGCAGCAAGGCACTATTCCTTCCTTCTGCCAAATGTCAAAGGTGCACTTCCACATTACACAGCCCACTATTACATTTTCTTTACTAATAAAAAACAGCAGCAGTTTCTTCCACAGCTTTTGCAATTTCCATTTCTTGTTCTCACTATTGGAATTCAGTCCCACACTGCCCAAGTCTGCAGTCTTCAATGAGGAACCGTTAGTTAGCTTTAGAATAGACTGAGGGAATCTCTTCCCCCGGATTCCGAATGTCAGTTGAAATGTATACATTTGTTCTCTATCTTTCTCCTCCCATCCTGATTGGTAGTGTAGAATTGATACTCTTCAGGTTGCATGCCTTTGTTTAAGTCTTCTGCTTTTTCCATCTTTGTATGCAGACCTCTCTTTTGACCTGTGTTTGAAGAGATGTAGTGTCTTTCTCTTGTTTTGGAACTTAGAAGTTATGGAGTTAGAAAGACGCTTAGACCCAATTCTTTCCCATCAAGGAATGTAGTTCTTATTTGTAAATAAACTGGTGTGTGATATCAAAAAGTTAAGAAGGACACTTCTGCCCAGCCTTATTTAAGAGGATGTATGGAAGGATCTATTTCCAGGGAGAGCAGGTGTAGTGCAGAGGGATTGAGCATTGAACTATGCCAGTGGGAACCAGGGCCCAAATCCACATTCACCCACATAAACTGAGTGACACATTCACCCACATTCACCCACATAAACTGAGTGACATTCAGGATTACATTCTCCCATCTTCAGAGGAAGGCAAGGGCGTACGTCCCTTGAACAAATCTTGCCAAGAAACCCCTGTGATAGTTCACCTCAGGGTCACCATAAGTTGGAAACAACTTCAAGGCACACAACAAATCATTCTCTGTATCTGATAGCATAATAACTTTTCCTTTGTAAATCAGAAGAGACATGTTTTTTTTTATGTCTTGTTTTATGCTGTTAAGTGTTGTATTGCTTTTGCTCTTGCTTAGATTTTTAAATAAGAAAATTCAAAGTACTTAGATTAGGAAAGCTTTTTGATTGTGTTTACATTCTTTAACTTGCTGTGAATTTAAGCGTGTCTGAGAAGCCTTCTGGCTTTCCCTGTGGGGAAAATTAGAGAAAATCATGAGAGGAAGGTCATTGAAAGTGGAGTCCTTCAGATTCCTGGCAAAAATATGGAATCCACTTGTCTCAAAAATCAGATAATTTCTTCCAGGACCCTGAGGCACATTCATTTTAAATAATTCAACATCATTCTTCATAAGTAATTCAAAGTTCATTCTAAGAAGTGATATCTGAACCAAATGTATCCCAAAGGCTTTTTTGGAGTTAAGTAATGCAGTCAGAGTTAAATAATAAATAACAATAGATAATTTTTCAGACGGGATTTAAAAAATAGATCATGAGTTGATGAGGCAGAGACTTGTTCTAGGGATATGAAATTGGACTTCTTTTGACAATCAGTTTTGGTAACAGCTGAGAGCAAGCAGGCCAAGCTGATATGGGCCATACTTCGAAGCTAGTTTACAGCTATTAGCTTTCTTTCAGTGTGGAGCACATTAAGAGATGGGGAAGCTCGAGAGCAAACTCACATCATTTCTCAGTGTCCTGTGAAAATAATTGCAAGGGCAGAGGTGATGACTTCAGGAAATGTAAGGAAATACTCAGTGTAATTCAATGGATAGGACTACTAAAAGAGAAAGGAGTTTATGATGGATGGGAGTTTCTTAAAAGTGAGATACTGAAGGCACAATTGCAAACAGTGACAGCAAGGAGATAAAATAAGAAAAGTGTAAAACAATCAGAATGAATGTTCAGATAACTTTTAATTGAGCTAAGATTTAAAAGAGACATGAACAAGAAATGGAAAAAAAGGGAAAATCACCATTGAGAAATTAAAACAAATAACCAACATATGTAGGAAAAAGGTTCATAAGGCTAAGGCATAAAATGAACTCAGGTTTGCCAGAGATTAAAACCAATAAAAAGGACTTCTTTGGTTTTGTAAGTAGAAAAAGGAAGAAAAAGTAAATGGTAGGGTGATGAAATGCTAACAGGAGATAGGGGAAAGGCAGTGATGCTCAACTCCTTTGCCTCAGTCTTCTCCCAAAAGGAGATTGGTGTTCATCCTGTGCAATATGGAGTGGGTGAGGTAATAGGGGAATTGCAACCCAAAAATAGGTAAAGAAGTAGTCCAGGAATACCTGGCTACTCTGAATGAATTCAAGTCTCCAAGGCCAGGTGACTGCTACACTGCTTGAAGGAAAGAGCAATCTCTTTAGCAATAAGGTCTCAAACTGTTTAAGGTGTTACTGATTAATAAGAATACTTTGGGAAACCTATTTGCATTCAATATCACTAATGTGATGTGCTCCACTTTCCATTTGAGAAACACTGATTAGCAAATAGGTCACAAAATCTAGCTTTATGGGGATCGGGTGACTGAAGGTGTGACCCTAGAATATTAAAACTAACAGGAAGCTTTATGTTGCATTTTGATCCCAAATGAATCTGTTTGACTATATGTTTCATTATATATAGGCCACCAGTGAAAACTTCCTAATTTTAAGGTCCATTTAGCATGGACATATTAGGAAAATAACAAATGACTGTAGTTACATTCATGGCAAGATTGCATCATTCGATTTCATTGGTCTTTTTAGGGGAAGCCTGATTCAATAATGTGCTCGGAGGGATCACTAATGTACTGTTCATTGTTTTTGCAGGTTTTATTTATACATGTGGTGGAACTTTAAAAGGACTCAATGGAACTATAGAAAGCCCTGGCTTCCCATATGGATATCCAAATGGTGCAAATTGCACGTGGGTAATAATTGCAGAAGAAAGAAACAGAATACAGATAGTTTTTCAATCTTTTGCTCTAGAAGAAGAATATGATTATTTATCATTATATGATGGACATCCTCATCCTACAAACTTCAGGACAAGGTAATTACTGTTTTCATCCTGACAAAATATGAGTTTCTACAAATTCTTTCTTTGATAGAAATGTCTTTTCTAGTAACATGAAATGTATTATACAAGCTGTATCTATATTTTTTTAGTAGCAGATATGAAAGTCAAATCATAAAATAAGGTTTATGAAAATATAATATTGCCTACTTACCTTTAGAATCAGTGTTTCAATTGGGTAGTTTCTTTGACTGAAATGCAAATGTATGTACATGCATGTGAACACAAATTTTATACTTATATTAAGGGAAAATGAGAAACTCCACGTATTCAAATCTCTCTTTTATACTGGGATAAGGCTAACTTATTGGTAATCTGATGTACTTGTTTTCACTGAGGTAGATCCATGGTTGAATGAAAATTGATATGAAAATAATTTCAGTTTCATTCATTTTGTTTTAAAAAAAACTCAAACAAATTCAGCACTGATCTTAGAAAGACATAAATTAAGAGTTGTTGAACATAAATCAAGTCAATTTCCCATATGCATTAAAACTACTTCCCTATTAGGAGTCTTTCTGTTGTAATGGCAAATGCTTTTGAGTGATTTCAAGGTTACAGTTTTGTTAGCTCGTATACACATTCACTATAATAGTCCATCCAAGTAGCAGGCAAGGCTGAATACACACACACACACACATATATATGCACACACACACACACACACACTAGCCATCCCCTGCCACGCGTTGCTGTGGCCCAGTCTGGTGATCTGAAAAATAAAGTAATGAGAAAGTGTTCTGCATGTGGGTAAACAGTATTTGATTACGTTTTCTTGCCCTGGTGAAGGGAGTTGGACTGGATGGCCTTAAGTATTTTCTATTGGTCATAGGGGTTCTGTGTGGGAAGTTTGCCCCAATTCTATCATTCATGGGCTTCAGAATGCTCTTTGATTATAGGTGAACTATATATCCCAGTAACTACAAATCCCAAATGTCAAGGTCTATTTTCCTCAAGCTCCATCTGTATTCGTAGTTGGGCATATGGAATATTCGTGCCAAGTTTGGTCCAGATCCATCATTGTTTGAGTCCACAGTGCTCTTTGGATGTAGGTGTACTATAACTCCCAAACTCAAGGTCAATGCCCACCAAACCCTTCTAGTGTTTTCCGTTGGTCATGGGAGTCCTGTGTGTCACCTTTGGTTCAATTCCATCATTGGTGGAGTTCAGAATGCTCTTTGATTTTAGGTGAACTATAAATCCCAAGAACTACAACTTCCAAATGACAAAATAAAAAAAATTGAGTGAAGGACATACATTGGGTTGTTAGGTGTATGCTGTCCAAATTTGGTGTCAATTCGCCCACTGGTTTTTGAGTTCTGTTAATCCCACAAATGAACATTTTTATTTATACACACACACACACACACACATATATGATAAAAGTTTCACTTGACATTATGTCTAGTTGTGTCTGGGTGGTAGTGCTCATTTCCATTTCTAAGCCAAAAAGTCAGCGTGGAATATTTGGAAATTGCTAACAAAAATAAGCTTTAAAAGAGAGAAAATGCATGAATTGTGCACACAATTGAGCACAAAATCCTGATTTTTTTAAAAAAAAGCACATTCCTTTTTCCCATTAGTAATTACACAACAATAATGAACAAAAGAGAACAGTAAACACAGTTCTTTGTTTTCAAGTATCACATGATCTATGCAGGCAATGAGTAATCAGAAAAGATAGCAGTGGAGGTGCCCTCCTGGTCAGTCCATGAGCCATTGTGATCCTACATGTCTTTATTGTTGAACTAGTAGTCAATGTTAATATGTCAGGCACAAGGAACAAGTTCTATAGATGATCTGTTCCATGTAAAGGCTGTGGAATAGGAGAGGTGGTGCAGCTGCAGCACCATTTAGGAACCCCTGAGTCCTTGCATCTCATTCATCTTATCCTCAAAAAATTGAAGACAGTAAAAATTGTGCCTTAAAAGTTTGTCACTGCAGCTCTGTTTCATCCCAAACTTCAGTAGTGTACTCCTTCCCCAGGGGCATACATTAACTAACACTGTGATTGTAAACTTCTTCTCCAGAGGAACTACTATTGATTCAGAGAAGGACAACAGTGATAGTTAGGAGATGGAAAAATTTAGTGTGTGGAAAAGTTGAAATAATTTGATTTCTTTAGCCTGGAGAAGAGAAGAGCAAAGGTTTATCAAATGTCTTGAGTGGCTTCACAGAGAAAAATGAAGAGGAGAGGAACTTCCACTGTAATAATGGTGTGGATGTCTATCCTATGAGCAGTGTAGCCATGGAACTTACATTCCTGGAGGAGTCAATATCTTCCTCCACACCACTCTTTGGAAATCGTTAGGTTGGAAAAGTGGAGCTCTGGTGCCATTTTTTTCTTCAAGACTATTTTGTGGACCCTAATTCTTCTAAACACTTTGGACCGATTTTTAAAAATTCCCATCCAAAGGGACTGAATTGCCTCTCTAAAAATACCCAGGAGCACCAATTTGGTTGAAACTTCCCCCAGATTAAAAAAAAAAAAACAACAGTTATTTAAAACAAAATGTGAACTTCTATTTTTTTGTATGGGAGAAGGTGATCCTGTTGGTAACCTGGGCCCAAACCATGTTGGGTTGTAAAGGTCAAAACTTTGTACTTTGTCCAGAAACTAATTGGCAGCCAGTGGAGTGACTGTAGTTTAGGTGTAATATGGTCACTCCTGGATGTTCCTATTAATATTGTTGTGTTTTCAACTATTTGAAGTTTCCAAACTTGGTACAGAGGCAGCCTGCCATATAACAGTTCCCTTTTTGAGGAGATGCTATCCTGAAGCACCACCATGAGAGGTACAACCAGAATCACTACAGCACAGTACCTTCGATTCCCAGCCCCTACAAGCATTCGAGAAGGACACCATGGCTGATGGTATCAAAAGCTGCTGAGAGATCTAGAAGCACCAACAGGAACACATACACAGACAATAATGATACTGCTAAGATGAAGATCATCCATTAAGATGACCATATCAGTCTAATGTCTGTATCCTGCTCTGAAGCCAGTTTGGAATGGGTCAAGGAAGTGTGTGTGATCCAAGACTACCTGGAGGGAGGGCAACTGCCTTCTTAATCATCTTGCTCAACAAAGGAAGGTTGGAGATTTGTTTATAATTATTAAGGTCCAGAGAATCCAAGGATGGCCTTTTCAGCAGGGGTCTGACAGCTGCTTCTGTTAAGCAAGTTGGAAAGTTCCCCTCCCAGAGAAATGCATCAATAATTTGTTGTATTTGAGATTGAGTTGTATCTCTTCCCTGGACAACCAGCCAAGAGGGGCACGGATCAAGAAAGCAATATGTTTGTATGTGTTTTCCAGAATCCACAAGATATGGTAGTTGCTGGCTGGTGGCTACCATATTAGTTCAGATTTTAGTTTGAACTTTCAATTGCTAATGTAGGTTCAGGATCTCTGGTAGCATCTCTAAACTTCAAAGTCTTTGGTGTATTTTGATATGGGAATTGCCAGCTACTACTGCCATTTGTACTGTGTCTGCACTGCATAATCCATAAAACAGATCTGTGAGAATCAATCGATATGCTCACAATTGAATTTGGCTGAAATAAAGATAATGCAGCTCAACGTGCATTTGAAGCTGATGCAATTAACAATGACTCTGTAATGGATAATAAGAACAGGGTATGTGACATGTCAAAGATATTGTCAGATGAATATTCATCATATTTCAAGCATTTAACCATGACAGTAAATGGCAAGAAGATAGAGATGTATAATTCTTCACTAAGTTTCTTCACAAAGTAATTTCAGCAATTTTCTTACTGCTATGAGAAAATCTTGGAAAATCACAGTTTTTGAAGGTGATTCACAATTCACGAGTTATTTTCTTGCAAGATTGTTTTGTGCACAATCAGTATTTTCTACAAAGGAAAGAGCTTTTCACATGTAAAATAATATTTTAATGCAGAAACATTAAGGGGCATAACATAGATTCAAACTACAAGAAAAGAAATTCCATCTAAATGAGATGGGAGTGTACCGAGGCCGGCAGATTTGTCCGGTTAGCAGAGAAATGGGCCCTACTGCACCCTTATTAAAGGAGATGTCTTTGCTTCCTAGTGTGAATCTGGACTCTGATGCTTTTGGGATTAGCAACTTTGTTGATTCTGGACTGTATTTTCGTTTCTGATTTGAACTTCTGGTTCTACTGTTCTCAGACTACTAGTTTTGGTGATGTTGGACTGGAATTCTGGTTTGTATTTCTTCCTGAACGAACTCTGAAACACTTCCAGTGTGACCACAGAAACTTAGACTCAGAACTCTCACTCTCAATGGCTTGTGCATGTATGCTAAAACTACTAGCTTACAAGGACTAGCAAGGGTGGGGCTGTTTTTGTTAATATATCGATACTTTGGATGTTTTCTTCCTTTCCCTCCCTCCCTCCCTCCTTCCATCCCTCCCTTCTCCTTCCTCTCTTTTTTTCCTTTTTGCCTTTTTAAAAATTTTTATTAATACAGTGGTAGGTTTCATAAGTTGTTAGTTAAATTTGTGTTTGTTGTGTAGTTCTCTCTTTCACACACCCTGCTACTGCTGCCATTAGCTATTTGGCACATATAGCCTGGCTCTTCAGCAAAAGGCCATCTGATGTGGGACCCTTACCAGCAGCAGTTATACCAGCAGCATAGTCTTGTCTGATAGGACTATACAATCCCACCTTCATGGGAAGGTAGTGCCAAGGAGATAAATATTCATCACTCACATTATAAATGGCATGAGGACTAGCATATATGAATGAAGAAAAAACTAAGGACACATCTACACTGACCACTTTCAAACCAGTATTGAAGAAAGTGTTTTCTTTGTGAAGATTATTACATAGGAAATCCTGGGACCAGTTTGAGGCCTGCATGACGATTGCACAAACAAAACACTGATCTGTATAAGGGGCTTTCTTTTTTGTACTAGCACGGCTGGCGGAGACAAGAGACAGGGCCTTCTCAGTGGTGGCCCCTCGGCT